CAATTTATAAAAAACGTTACTTGGAAAACAAATTTGGTTGGCTGGAAGACCATATAGAACTTGTAGGAAAAGGAATTTTCTTTGTCTGGTAGCTTCCAACTACCATAACGGCACATGCAAATATTTGTTTAGTTTTTTTTGTGATAAAAAGCCACAAGTTTGGATAGAACAACTTCCTAGTCTTTAATGATTCTGTAGATATCATCGGTTGGTGATGAAATTCACCTTCAGAATGATCTACATTTTTTGAGTGAACCCATATTTTGCCTCCGGTGTGAACCTGATACCAACAAAAGTCGCTAAGGTGCCTAATTAGCAGGACAGCCGCTTATATTTTTATACTTATCGGCAAGCAGAACAGCATTACAGGAAATATAACGCAGATAGGTACTTTTTCTGGTAAGAGCTTAATATCCTCTAAATCTATTGGTGAATATGTATTAAGCTGTGGTTGAAATAATTAATTTATTTTGTTTGTTTGTAATATGCATTCACTTCCATACCTCGGCATAGGCCTGATATTCAGATAATTCTCAAACTTTCCTATCCTTTGATGAGTGATAAACGACATAGCAATAAAGTTTTCACTGCTGCATTTACAATATCACTAGACAGTGTTCTATTTAAACCTCAGTTATTTTGAAATATGAAGTAGCGTCAGTTTAACTGTGTGTATAACTCAAGTGTTCCTCTTGGTTGAAAGGAAATTCAGGTGATACTAATCGTTCCGCAATTATTAAACGAAAGTCACGTTGTCAAATCTGATTAAAATTACAAGTAATTATTTCATTATTCTTTGTACGTAAATCATTTTAGATATTTCATCTTCGTCACTTGGAATTATTATTAGTCTTTTGTGTTCTGAGGAGAGCATAAGACTTCAACAACACACCTCCACTTTCTTCTGTTACGTGCTATCCTCTACAACTGGGTTCACGATTGACCATAATCTCTCATCTCCTCCTCCCCATACGATCTCCTCCATGTCACCCTCGTAGTGACTGCCTTTTTCGTTGCTCCCAATTCGAGCGATTGCCTGCATTGCGTGCGACGTCATTCGGCAGCCTCCTCAACGTATGCCCGGTCAATCCATCTCCATTTTCTCCTACATATTTGTTGAGCGATCACCTCTCGCCTGTTGGTTTGTTCCCAGCTGGCGTTTCTTGTTGCTAATTCTTCTTGGCCAATTAGTGATAAATATGAATTTTCAAATATCACCTGTTGTCATTAGATCGGTAATGGTTATAAGTCAGTTAATCGCAAAAAACTGTAACCTTTCAATATTAAATGTGTTGATTATCATCTCTTAATTACAACATATTTCATTTACTTTCCTATAATCCAGCATTACTTAATTGGTTCATTTATTTTTCTTAGCCTCTATTGATTACATTTGCTTGTTTAATCATGCTATTTTTTGTTATTCTTTTACTCACAGATCGCCTCACTTTCTCAGCCTTATTATTAATCAAATCATTATTATTATGACTAATTGCACAATTTATATGCACAGTTTTATTATCATATAGACGAAACAACATGATTGGTTTATATTTGAATTTTTATTTGTAAAGTTATGCATATTAGGGTTAAGCCCGATGGGATCTAATTGAAAACAGTGTTGTTCGCTTAAGTGTTTTGTTACAGATTATAAATTGACCCAACAGTTATGACAAATGCTGAGAATTCTGTTCTGTATTATAAGTACTGTTCTAAGAATAAAGATTATTACTTTTATTTGTTGATATGTCCCACAAAGTCTATGGTTTTATATCAGTGAACATCTACATTGTAAGTATCCAGACCTTAATTGTTGCAAATGTCCCTGAAACAACTTGAGTGCCGAGTCAGAATGAATCATTATAAATTAATTAAGATAATCCCAGCGTGTTAAAAAAACCCAGATTATTCACTATGTGAGTCACAGTTTATTCAGCAAAATATCAGTCTATGACTCGTTAGTGGGTGCATCATGAATCTCATGAAGATGCAATGAAGAGATGTGGCCGAAGGTACATACCATACCAAGGTGCTCATTGGTCGGCAATACTTGCTACACCACAAGTTGAAAGAAGTTATAACTCACAGATCATTGAATTTCGACCAATTGGCTGAATGGTCAACGAACTGACCTTTAAACCTGAAGGTCCCAGGAGGGGCCACATTTCTGCACTACTATAGATTCCTAAACTAGGACGGAAAAGTTCCACGCTACGAACTAGTTTTCAGTAATTCCCCGATTTGTGTCGACTTATGACGAAATAATTATTGAAGTAAACCCTTAATTTTCACTACATAAAAATGAAAAAAGGTATCTGAACTCGCAAATCAATTTTAAATCAGTCATATCACTGACTACTTTCATAATAATGACTACAGATAAATAGTTTACGTTTAAAACATTGCATCTAGAATTGTGAACTACTCTAACATTTGTCAGTAATGTAACGTAAATATTTGTAAGAAATATTCATGTGGTCATCCAAAATTTCGAAAAACTGCATTTATCATAAGAAATGTTACACATTTTGTATATAGTATGACGAAGTGGCTCTCTGATATACTTCTCAGTGATAAGAAATCATCTATTAGCAATATTTTAGAGAATGGCGATTTTCACAAACTTAGTGTGAAGTAGAAGTTTACTGTATTATTTGCATTTTATGCTAGTGTGGTGAGAGCAGGCTGCTAGCCGATTGGTTGACACTAAGCTACGTTAATATGGGCCGTGAGAAAATATGAACAAGGCTGAGTCAACAACCAATCACAGCAAAGTTAACGTGGCAAAATATGATTCGCAGATAGAGAACTCTATTTGTCAAGGAATCCCGAAACAACCAATCAGAAGCCTGCGTTTGTCTGCCTAACTTCAGATAAACAACCAATTAGATGACTGCGCTTGTCTATAATAATGTACATGAAATATGTATAAATACGTGTTGATTTTCATAATAAAACGATCTGTTGCCTGGCCCTTGTCTTCTGTTGTTACACTAGAGGTCTTCTAACAAACCTGGAAAGGTTTAAGATGGTGCAGAAAGGCATTTTTGTTGGATTTAATGCCTAATGCAAGTATATCTTATCTTAACCAAAGAAACAGAACAACTTCGTAGCTAGGCCATCGAATTTATGAAGGAACGAACAGGTTAAGTAGCACATACACCTTAAAAGTACATAACATGCTGATGGATACAAAAGAAATTTAAGCAGATTGTCATACATTATAACCTTTTATTATTTGAGGGCATGAAGTTTAACTATCTGCACTTGACAGTCAATAAATGCATTAGTTCTCCTTTCAATAAAACAAAATTTGCAATGGATTGTTATTTGTATATTACGGGAGATTCAAAAACAGTGAACATAAAGCCTTAAATTTCTTGAAAGCATAATTTTTGGTTTTCCCGTTAACTGACGTTATAACATCAAAATGTCCTGTCTCGGTTGACACGCTGATTGATAATATGGGTGCTTCGACCATGTCTTTAAGTTAACGTAATGCTAAATGGGTGATAGTACGTAGCAGAGGAATTCATGATGTATGGTTCGTCTTATTTGGGATACGTAGGCTGGATGTAAATGCACCACAGTGAGCATCGACATTCCCACTGTTCTTGGCTGATAACGCTCGATGCGTGGTTTAGGTTTCAGTAGAAATGACATCAACCACTGGCAGTTCACACATATGCCAGTGACAAATTTCAAATACAATGAAACAAGCGCTCTGGATTTCAGTTATAGCCAGCATCAAATAAATAACGCAGTAACATGGTTTGAAACCATGCAGAGGTAAGCTAACACTACCGGTTGCACCTAATTTCTAAGACGCGCCTAGAAAACCTCTATTTCTCTCCATCCTTGATGATGGCTGTATTAATCTCTGATACTCAGTCCCTTAGATTTAGAATATGAATTATGTACGTATAGGTAAATATTGTAATTTCAAGTGCAGTTACATCTAACCATCATATTCAGATTTTATGTCCGAATTCGCAGACCACTTGAAGTGAAAAGAGTGAAAGCTTTTTATTCATAAAAAAGGTGTTTATTTAGAATACATTTATCATTAAAGTTTAAAAAGATGTCTTTTAGAACTCGCTTTCTGTCTGTTGTTCTGATCATCACTACAACCCATCCTTTTATTTTACCAGGTAGTGTGAACAGTACTATTCAAAGTCTAAAATAGTTGCAAAAAATAAAGGAAAACCTTATTCGATATGAATATAAATTTCTAATATTTTTCTAAATATTTTATTTAGTATTTAGTGTTGTAGTGGTATGATAGGAACAATGTGTTCCAACGCAATATTATTCTCACATATTCCCACAGTTCTATACGAGATTAGCAACAGAATACTGTATGCGTTTAAACATTCTATTTTATGTCGTTTAATGTAAACCAAAATCACACGCTCAATGATCGGTTAAAGAATATATATATATATATATATATGGCGGCTTGATCACTTGAAAATATAACTTGGCTTCCATGTCTTGTTTTCTGTTGTTATAGTGTAAGACGTTTAGCGAGTACAGATGTGAAGTAAGACGCCATTCATTCTTTAAGTTATTTGTTAATACCTAGTTTTGTGTAGATATCCTAAAAACTCCGCTCACCAAACAGAGACAGAAGTAGCCAGATGTCTGAAGAAAACTATCTGTGGCTTTATGACTATATGTCTGAAGACTTTTACTTCATAGACAAAAAAAGTGATTGATCTCAAATTCATTGAAAATACGCCATCATATCAAATACAACATGTTAAATATTTAATCGTAGACTCTAGAATTTTGTCTACAGAATATGTTTAAAATATATAAGTATACTATGATACGACATTACAATAAATTCACTAGATAGGCATTGTGGAAGTGAATATAGTCGTGGCTTCAACTATAGGTTCTCTTCAGCTAACTGTAATTTACGCCTTTTCGAATCTGTTCGCCTGGTGGTTCGATTATTATGCTAAGAATGCATAAATGACATTAAAAGCATTGAGCTATCTAGTAAACTTACATAGACTGCAAAAAAAGAAAAAAAAACCAATAAGATTATGTCGCTAGGCTGATGACTTTGTTTTAAACTTTATTCAGTTACTTTTATGGGCTCTTTAGTAATAAAGCTACATCCGTTAAGTTGTTAATTTCAGTGGTCATTTGTTCAAGGTTATCTCAAAAAGAAGGCAGAGTGGTCTTCACGTTATGTTAAGGAGGTGAATATGTCCCTCATTTGACTTACACTGAAGAGGTGTTCTCAAACTTTTAAGGCAAAAGCTATTTACAAATTGCCAGGTAAGTCTTAAAATGTAGTGGTGATAAGTATCCTACTACATTTGTTTAACTTGTTTAACTTCATCATAAAATAATTTAATTTGATATAAACACAAAGCGATACGGTATTAGCAGTATCATTAAACATTGTTGTATCATGGTGTGTTTCTATAAAATAAAATGATCCTATAATAAAATTATAATCCACACTAATGCCCGAATAGATTCTTGTATCACAACTGTTTACCTGAATATATAGTGATATTGTTTACAGTTTTTGTATCACTTGATGTCTCATAACAAATGTACTTTAAAACGAAATTCTCGTTTGAACAAACACCATGCGATTAATAAAGACTACACTTACTTGGGGAAATATGAGCAAACAAAGCTGTTCAGCTCTGCAAAAGAACGTGTTTGATTTTTAGTTATTAAACGTCAAGTATGATAATGAGTTTGGACTATTGGAAAATGAACGCCAGACATTTTATCTCAGATTAGTTGCATAATACTATACAGCACCCAGACTGAGTCATATTCACCTCATTTTAAGAAGGCCATATGGTCATATGGATATAGCCAAGTCATACGATTTTGTTGGATACATTCAAAGTTAATCAATTCAGCGGGAATATGAAAAGCACTTTCCTATGACATTTTGATAAGTTTGATCTGGGATAACAGCATACTTTGGGGCAAATTAGGTGTCTCTTCTCTACTGCTAATCAGCTGATTATTCAGATTACCCTAAAGATGTACAGTAACATTTACTGATGATGTTTCGAGCATAGTTTATTGCTTATAGTCATATCAAGGTACTCACACAACTTTCTAACTTCGTTTATATAATTCCACCATTATTTCTCATCGATTGACAAGATTGGTAGTAGTATTTTCCATATTTCCCGTATGAGTGGTGAGTCATCCCTATTGCACATGTAGGGTGTGGACTCGACGAACAAGGATTCAGTAATCAACCTCTCTCTCCATCTACATAGATTACTTCTTAGAATCTTAACCCTCTCCCTCCGTATTCTGTGATTGTTTGTTAACTCATGCAGTACAATTGCTGGGCTTTTTTCTAAATATCTCATCTTCTCGGGGTCAACTGTTCTTACCTTAGCTAAATTCTTACGTTCCGACAGTCTAACTACTCCCGACCTACTAGTTCAACCTCTGTAGTTGACATACAGTCATAGCAAGGTTTTTTTGTAAATTATATTATTTTGTCTAATTGGGTCAACCGACAGGGTCTTTTAGCCTACAGAGCTTGTCTCTGAGTGAGTTTGTAGGTTTAAATGCCACCCTAATTCCTGCCTTATTAAGAATCCTACGTAGGGTCTTAGATGTCATCCTCCTTATATGGTATAACAGTAGATGCCTCATATTCTCTCTCACTTATGTTATTATTACTAGTTCCATAATTATTTTATTTCGCTTTTCGCCTTTACTGATCTTCCTAATGAATTTTATAGGATAGTTATTCAACACTAACGCTTCTTCTATCTGTTTTATTACATCATTTAGGTCTTTTCTTGCTCCACTTAGTGCTACTGCTCAGTTTGTTAGACACTTAACTAAGCCTCCCCTAACAGTTAAAGGATGAGGTGAGCTAAAGTCTAAATATCTATTGGAATACGTTGGTTTTTATAAGCGCGTGTGCAGTTTACATTCTATTCGTTTTATTTTACAGTCTAACACAGCTAATTCAAATGCGAATTTTATTCCCTCTACTAGTGAGTTTATATGTGTCAAGAAGCTAAAGATATGTTCTGTATTTAACACCATATTTTTTGAGCAGGATTAAATGTATTGCGAGCAATATTTTCCCAGCTGTCCGTAAATATATCTGCCATGATAGGGTATACTGGTGATCCCATTGCTAAACCTCGTCTATATATATATATATATATATATATATATATATATATATATATATATATATATATGTTATATTCTACAATAAAAGGAATAGATGATGCAAAATATGTGGACAAACATAAGGTGTACCAATAAGATCATCAATATCCCCTATCACAGCCGTCCACTTAATCAAGGGGATAAGCAAAACTGAATTCAAGAAATTTGTAAAACAGTGTTTTTAATGGATACAGAACTCATTATTTGTCTAAATTATACGCAAAAGGTTCCAATGTTGCCACGTTATTTCAATTTCTTGAGCAGTAATTGTGTTACCATGGTTCAAACAGTAATAATCTTAGTTTTACGGAAAGGTCTCCTTAAAAATATTCTCCATAGAACTTTATTTGTATAAGAATGATTTATGTACAGTCTGTCACAGGAATTATCAAATGAGTCCATGTGAACTTGAGATCTTACAAGTTTTACAATTTTTTTTCTGAAAGACATGAGGCATGTGGTGGTGGCAGTTAGCAAGGGATTTCATTATATGTATATTATTATTATTATTCTCTTATATTCCGAGTGGAACATAGGGCTTCAACAACACATTTCCACTCCCTTCTATTTTTTGCTGTCCTCTTCAGCTGGTCTCACGATTGCCCAAACTCTCTCATCTCTTCCTCACACGATCTCCTCCCTGTCACCCTTGCAGCGACGACTCACTCATTGCTTCCTATTCGAATTCCACCCGCGCAATGTTATTCACCGATTTCCCCAGTGTATGTCTGATTCATTTCCATTTTCCCTCGCAAACTTTTTGAGCGGTCGGCTCTTGGTTGGTTTGTTCCCACAGTTTCTTGTTATCTATTCTTTCTCGGCGTTTGACCTTCAGTATGGGGCCAGCGTAGGCAGCTGTTGATGAAAATCTCTAATCTGTTGGAAAGCGTTTTCGTGACAGGCAGTGCAAGTTTCTGACCCATTTAGAAGAAGTGACTGATTGACTTCATATTTGTGTTAAAAATACGAATCTTGTTCCTTATGCTGCAGCGAAGCGCAGAAGATTTCCAAAGTGGTTTCGGGTCAATAAAAGCGTTTCTTGCCTTTCCGATTCTCACTTTCACGTCTTCATCCGTTCCGCCTGTACTCGAAACGTCGCCTCTTAAATAATTGAAGGATCTAACCTCTGTTAAACGTCTCCTGTTGGTTAGTGGTGATTGGTGCTAGTTGTTGTTGCTTTTGCTGTTAGTTGGTAATCCTCATCACCTCCATCCTCTCTATGTTCACTTGAAGTACTGTCTTCACTGCCTCTTCCACAAGAGATTTTGCCGGTGTTTAAAAATTTGGACACATAGTTTCCATTGATGAGTTGCATGGAATTACGCCACACTGGAACTCAGATATCTTTTGTCCTGTGAATAAATTTGTAGTAAATGTTTGTATGCCGAGTTTCAAATGGTCGTACTAACCATATGAAACCTCTCACTGCATGTTATTCATTCGTTTTACATTCGAAAACATTCTATTGGAAAAAGCTTACTATTTCAGCTACTACTACTTCTCACTTTTTCTTAGTGTATATTCTGTGATTCCATTTTATACACAAAACAGACCACAGAAGTAGTTCTGACTAGGAAGCTATTAGTAAAAGACTGGAGATTATCATTATGCACAAAGTAAACTGTTCAATTTCGGCTTACTTTCTCTTACTATAAAGAAGTCAACAAGTGGGGAGAAAATTTATTATTAAACAGGGCATTTAGGTTTATGTGAAACTTCAATTTATTAGCACTATAGTTTGACTCATATACTATGCAATTACTAATTTTAATTGAGATTTAAGAACTAATCCATATACACGATGACAAAAGATGCTTTAGAACTGATAATTCCTGTTTACTCCCTCATAGATAACTGAGGCTTCCGAAGAAAGAAATGCTTTTAAAAAGCATTATCTTAATTCTTAACATTTGAGTGTAAGATATAATAAAAATGTGAATCTCCAAATTCCCCAATAGATTGAGAGAAGAAATATATTCCTTTTCATTTTGTTCGACATCATCGGCTCTACACATTTACATCAACAATTTTTACCAATCAAATGGTTATTTTAGTCAGTCAATTTTAGGTATAGGTGGGATTGAAATTAAGAGGTTAAAGGTCATTAAAACAAATGACTAATAGGTGTTAGTACCAAAATATCTAAGTTTTGAAAAAGGAGTGAAAATTAATTACAGAATTCAAGATAAGTTGATTCTTATACATTCGCAACAAACTGTTACGTTGTCGAAAAATTTGTAAAATAGGAAGAAGAATAGAATAACTCAGAAAAGTTACGTAAAATGCAAACAAGTTAATAGAATTAACTAAAATTGTACAAATGAACAGAGTAAAAAATGAGTTACAAAGAAGAGGGAAAAACTCGTTTCTAAAAGCTTAATACATATTATGCAGTTCGCCATGACAAAGAAAACGTCTGTACAAATTTATTTTGAACACATAGATTTGCCTTGTGCAGACGAATTCTGATTGCCTCTTCTGTACGTAAAATCCGTACCCGTAGATCATGCGAGATATTGGGTGAGATACGATAAATAATTTTAAAAGCTTTGTTAGAGTCAATTTGATGTCCAGTATCACCAAGATGAGCTAGCAGTGAGTTGCGTATAGCTTTATTCAGACCTTTGCCGAACCAAGATGGGAGGTGTTCAGAAATTTGACGTTGAACTTGCCTGATCATACGCCCTATGTTACTAGCTCCGCATGGGCAGTTAAACTATTAAATACACATGGAAGAGGCGAAACAGTGCAATTTGCCTTTATTTCTTGAACTAAGTGTTGGTCGGCTTGTGAATACACAGTATACCTTAGCTGCGTTGAAAATCCATTTGAAGACCCTTATCAGAGGTTGTGATAAAATCTCACCACTGACATGACCCGTGAATTGTAAGTCATCTGTCTACTGCACAGTGAAAGTAAGATATGAACTGATATCTTAACTCACTGATAGGAAGAACATGCATGAGGCTTTAGTACAATAGAAAACTTTACGTTTATCAATGGAAACGAAGTGCAGACAGTATTTCGTCACTCATTATGATAACTTGATCACAATCTCCGACATCTATGCTTTAAATGAAAATAGGTTAGTTGATACATGCATTAAACAATTCTTACGTGGATTAGCTGTATGAGTGAGAAAGATATTATAATGAATATTAGAAAGACTAAAAATAAACTATTGGGAATTCCTGTAGAAGACAGCAATGGATGTGAAACACTCTCCTGGAATTGAGAATTGACGACTGAATATTTCAAGGTACATAGATGTATCAAGACATTTGACATCTGAGATCAAAATAGTTTACTTCAAAAACAGGAATGTTCAAAAACATCTTATTGAAATAAAATTATCAGATGTTTTACTTAAAATACATAATCAATTTATATAATACGGTGTCATGAACCATGCGACAAACATGGAGAGATTAACTTGAATCTCAGGCTACATTCTGAAATAATGACAATAAGCTCACAGATGAGAAGTCCTAATGGACAAAACATTCTTGGTCTCCATCATTCAGTAGGCTGCTAAGTAAAATTTTAAATATTTGCAGCTGCAGTTACAATAATGGCCACTTATGCGGCGGATACATTTTTTTACGTAGAACAACAGATTAATTATGGGGTGTCAAAATAAATAGTATTCTTCTTCTCATTAAGAATGCTTTTTTCCCCTTAACCCCTTTGGCTTTTTTTCCTTATTTTGCCCTAGTATTACACTTATTGTTATTCGTCATAACGTAATCCCTTCATGCAAACATTCCCTCAATACTATCAAATTTTCCGTTTTTACTATCCGGACTTAGTATTAGTGATATTATCTCTTTTCTCAATATATGTCTCCACCTGTTTCATTTCACATATTCGTTATTTCATTATGAACCACTCATTGCAGTCTTACTACCTCCTGTTTAATACAGACCATTTTGTACTAGCCACCCACCTGCCACCTTTTATAAACTTGAACTTACTTGTCGGTTTTTCCTACCCCACACTCTACAAATCTATTATGACTAATCACCATCATTGTCTTCCATTTCACAATATTTTGGTAATTGAATTCACCCTAGCACGTTTATCAAAAAAATACTATTTATTTTGACACCCCACAACTAATTTATAGTTGCGTTTTATATAATTCTGAAGCAGTTGAGATGTCTGTGCTGAAAAGTTAGTTCAAAGTATTCTAACAGATAAATTAGAACGATGTTTACAAAATCTCTATACTTGGATATGTGTTTAATAAATTAGAATACATTAATTGATTAAGTTTTACTGGAGGTTATTATAAAAGTAGGTTACTCACTTTCATTGCTTTCTGAAAATAAATTTGAATTACAGAGATTATAATTAATACAATTGTTGCATGAAGTCTGTAACATTTGAGGTCTGGATATTACTAGTGTAATATAGCTGTTATTATTCTTTTCCATCTCCAGCACAACCTACTGTCACCTATGGGATATCACTGATATATATATACCTCCGTATTCTTTGATTGGTAATTTCTATAACTGGCCGAGGGCACTTACTGCTCCTCGTTATTATCCACCGTGAGACGCACAACAACAAAAACTTCAGAATGCAGAATTTATGTGAGAACGAGTTGATCAAAGATTGATATCACTTAGAAAACATCTGAAAACCAGGGAGTACTGGTCAGCTGCTTCACCATAGTTTGGGAATCATCGGCAGAACGCACCCACTGAGTTTCGAACCCAGGACATTCAGGTTACAAGGCAAGCTCGCATACCATTCAGCCACTGCGACCCGACTCAGTGGCAAGTCTATGAATTCTAACTTCTACCAAATCGTAATTTTTTTATTTTTTTTTTTGATTTTTGATTTACAGCTTGATTCCACACTGTATTTTTGGTACAAGTATGGAATTTTCAGCATGGATATCGGTAGCCCAAATTTTGCAGGCTGACCATAGATATCAGATGTGCGTCGGTGCGGGCTCGAACCCGGACCATGTGCATGGTCGGCGAGAGTCCTAACCACTGTGCCACCGACGCATAATTCAGCGTGACCACCAAATAATGAGAACGTTACTTCATCTCTTAGTATTATTATTATTGTATCCTTTAGTTCCTAGAGGAACATAGGGCTTCAGCTGCCCACCTCCATTGCCTTCGGTTTTCTGACAACTTTTTCACCCTGCTCCAGGTATGTCCACATGCTTTCATCTCCTCCTCGCATGACCTCCTCCAAGTCACCCTTGTTTGACGACCAACTCGCCGCTTCCCTTTCGGGTTCCACTCGAGAGATGGATTGTCTAGTGATGTCACTTGATGGTTTCCTCAGCGTATGGACAATCCATCTCCATTTCTTTCTGCCTATTTGTTTCACAATCGGTTCCTGATTGGTTCGCTCCCAGAGATCCCTGTTGCTGATCTTTTCTGGCCGGCCATCTGATCTTGAGTATTGAGCGGAGACAGTTGTTAATGAAGGTTTGAAGTTTGTTTGAGATGCTCTTTATGACTCGCCACGTCTCTGATCCGTATAGTAGCACCGACTCTCACATTGGAGTTGAAAATCCGGATCTTATTTTTTATGCTGATTGCTGTTGACCTCCACACAGATTTGAGAGTAATGAAAGCTTGTCTTGCTTTTCCGATTCTGGCTTTGATGTCCTCGTCAGTTCCGCCTGTAGTTGAGACGATGCTTCCCAGGTAGGTGAAGGAGGTTGTTTCTTTCAGGTTCTTCCCATTTATGCTTATTGTGGTCTATTGGTGTTGTTGCTGTTGGCTAGGAATCTTCATTATCTCTGTTTTATCTATGTTCACGTGAAGTCCTATCTTTGATGCTTCTTCTGCCAACTTGTTACTTTTCACTTGCATATCTTCCAGTTTATGGGAAATCAGACATATATCATCGGCGAAATCCAGATCCTCCAAGTCTTTTGCGTCAGTCCATTTTATGCCTGTTCCCTCGTTGGTTGCCGTTGTCTGTCGCATTATCCAGTCAATTGCAATCAGGAAGATCATTGGTGATATTAGACAGTCTTGCCTCACTCCCGTCCTCACTTCGAAGGCCTCCGTAAGTTTCCCGTTGTGGATTACTTGGCATGCAGCATTGTCGTACAACTGTTGGATGAGATGTATAATTGTTGATGGGACCCCGTAGTAGCGAAGTAGTTGCCAAATGACCTCTCAGTCGACGCTGTCGAAGGCCTTTTCAAAGTCGATGAAGTTGAGATAGAGAGGTGACTGGCATTCCAAGCTTTGTTCAATGATGATCCGTAGAGTGGCGATTTGATCAATACACGATTTGTTTCTCCTGAATCCGGCCTGTTCCGGACGAAGTTTTTCATCTAGGGCTTGTTTGATTCTCTCCAGGATGATGAGACTTAGTATCTTGCTTGGAATGGACCGAAGCATAATTCCACGCCAGTTTTTACATTGACTTAAGTCTCCTTTCTTTGGAAGTTTGAATAAGTATCCGTTCTTCCAATCCTCGGGTACTTTGCCCTCTTTCTTAGTAGGGTTCCATAATTGGGAAGCTAACAAATAATTGGTCTGTGCAGATGCGAACTTCATTAAACCAGTAAATTAGATAGTGCGGAATAAAGACCCTTCACAAACAGTTAGAAATTAGCCCGAAATGTACACAAATGCGAACAAATCCCATAAAGACTTACTTTAAACCGAAAATAAGAAATACAAATGAAGATTCGTTTGATTTACAAGAAGTTAATTCATGTAAACGTCATAACAACAGACTCAGTACTAATGGGAAGTGACTGTTGCCTTAGGATCAAATATATATTTTAATTGAAGACAGACAGAAAGATGCTATTATGCTGCAGTTGACAACACTGACTATGTATCTCATTCCATAGCAAATAAATCTATTTGGTACAACAAACAGTGCTATGTAGTATTGATAAGTGGATGAGATATCAAACAAGTTTATTTCACATCATCACTTCCAAAACGCCAAGATAAGGCTAGATATCAAGTCTTGCTATTACTATGATATGATTGTGGGTAGTAAATTTCGAAACGCAATCCACTTGACAATACTGTAACACTGTACGTAATACAAAATAAACTCATCTAGTGTAGAGTGATATTAAACAACATCAACGAGATTCTACACTGGCGTTATCTATCTTCTCATTAAAACGTAACTCTAATTCCGCCTGGTATGGCAGTGCATTTCTTAAAAAACGATCTGCTTTCTGTTCATCAATACCTAATATCCTAATGACCGCTTTCCGTCAGCTGTCGTATGGCAGGTGTATTGAAATGTGTTAGTCAACTCGAAACAGAAAATAATGATAGTACTGAAGACAGTTTCTACATGACTAAAGAGGATTGCGTCTATTTTATCTCTTGAGCTACTTTAATCAAACGGTAGTGAACGCGTTATGGTTCACTGCATAAATGGACACAGTTATATAGGATCCATGGGAATAAATGTCACAGAGATTTTGAAAGGGGGGTTAACTGCAACGGAATGTCTAAGGGGTTTATTTTTGCACAGCTTCATTAAATCTGTATATCACGCTAGTTTCTCTATCTTAGATACATTTGTGAAAAACATTATGTATCAATGAAGTGAATAGGTAACATTACTCACCTCCGGAAAAGCAAGTCCACAGTTTTATTCAACACTTTTTTTTAACAAAAATGAAGAATGTAGATGGAAAAGTGTACTTAATGAATCTTGTCTCATGAATTGTGAAATAAGGAGTTAAAATGTGAAATAAATGTTATTTCTAAAAAGAACCTGTCCTAGACATTGATAGCTACTTTATAGAGGATAAAACGTTGAAATCTGTTATGCGGACTACCACAGGAAATATATAACTGACTAACATAAGTACGGAGTTGTCTCGTATTTATGCACACTTACTCTAGAAGGTATCCTTTGAATAAATCCTCTAAAGAATGATTAACAACACCTTGATATTGAGATTGCCACTGCTTTGTTATGTAGGACATCTCTTCAAAACTGAAATATAACTGTTTGGACGAAAAGTAACCTGGATTGCTTCATCTGAGAACTCTGAGATAATAATTCCTTAAGACCGTCCCTCATATATTACAATGTGTGCAAGAAATTTTACCTTGAAAAAACCATAGAGTATTTGCTGTTGTAGTAACTTTTCTTCAGCTTATACTAACCACTATGTAACTAATTGGTTTGCCAAATAACACTTACTGTATTCAACTATAAGTGAAATTTATGCAAACAGAAACGCTGTTTCAGTCTAACAGTAAGTCGTATGAAAAAATACAGTGATATCTTTAGAACTAAATTGTTTTTACCAAAATGTGGTTTAAATTTTACGTCCATTTTTCTGTTATTAAGCGAAATGGTGTCGGTGGTGTATCATCCGTCTGATGCTAGTCGATATCATTTTGCAGTAGCTGGCAAAAATTTAAACAGTTTTGAGAAAATAGTTATTATAAAGATACCATGTACTTTATTTTATTTTGTGTCTATTAAATATTTGAGCTTATTTGATAATGAAGGATGAATAAATGTATTGCTGTACTACGATAATATTTTCCATTCATAAAAAATGTATGATACGGAAAACACCGGAGATTTTAAGGTTACTTAAATTCGCAACATCGCCCTGTTTGGTAGCCGGTCTTAGGCCTGAAAAAAGGGGGAGGGCTGTGGGGTGGGGCTAATGACCCAACCCCGAAAAATCAGTCAAGTCCCTACAGGAATTTCAAAACTCAACAGAAATATGAAAACCAAACTATTCTTCTCTGTAACCGGAGAGACGGAATGACGCAGGCTGGTGAATGCCTTCAGGAAAGCAAGAAATAAACAGGGGGACATGGAATGTCCCAGCGATGTTCAAAGCTGGAAAAGTTGCTCAGATTGTGTGGAAGTTACAGGAATCTATGAGCTCCAGTGTAATGGGTTTGGAATCTCTCAATTGTTAACTGGAGAATCGATAATCTGCTCCGGTTACCCAGGAGATTACTTCAGGCACACTGAGGTAATGACTGTTATCGTGTCATCAAGAGCATCGGAGGTCATCGTGCAGAGGGAATTAATATCGTCTAGGATCGTGGCAGCGAGGGTGAATTCGGGAGGCAGTAAAGCTGCAGTTACCTAACATTACACAAAATGCTCAAAACAACGTTGGTCAAGAGGAGGAGAAACACTTTAAATAACTACCAGCAGTAATAGGCAAGAAGTTAAATAGTAACAACCAAAACTTAATGGGTTATACGAATGCCTAAGTGGTACGAAATAACAAAGAAAGAGAACTCACATAGGTAGAAAGGCTCTTGGCAAGATGAATGAGAACAAAGGGCTCTTCATGGACCTCTGTGCACTTAATGAATCACTGGCTGAAGTCAGAACACACCAACAGAAAAACATATATAAGGCGAGTTGCGTTTCACCAAACGGACACACTTAAAGATCAGATAGACATAATTTCAGTCTGAAGAAAGTG